GGACTAAACCAGGTCTAAACCAGGACTAAACCAGGACTAAACCAGGTCTAAACCAGGACTAATCCAGAACTAAACCAGGACTAAAGTATGACTAAATCAGGACTAAACTAGGTCTAAACCAGGACTAAACTAGGACTAAACCAGGTCTAAATCTGGACTAAACCAGGTGTAAATCAGGACCAGACCGGGACTAAACCGGGACTAAACCGGGACTAAACCGGGTCTGGCTCTGGTCTCGTCAGTGTCACCTGTGTCGGGACTCACCTGAAGCGGCTCGTGCTCCTCGAGGATCCCGCGCAGACTCGGTCTGGGGCGGCTCTGGTCCCGGTTTGGTCCCGGTTTGGTCCCGCTGTAGTCGTGGCTCAGACTTGCTCTAGACTTGGTCCAGACCTGGTCCAGACCTGGTTCAGACCTGGTTCAGACCTGGTTCAGTCCCGGTGTGTCTCGTGGACAGGTCTGACCGGTCTGTGCGCGTGACCGCGAGCGAGGAGGGCGCGGCCTTGTGCGCGCTCCCGTGCAGAAACACGCTCCTGAGCACGCGCCTCACCCGGGGTCCAAATATCACTAATACTACAGTACTATAGTACTACAGTACTACAGTACTATAGTACAGTACTGTACTATAGTACTACAGTACTACTGTACTATAGTACTGTACTACTGTACTACAGTACTACAGTACTATAGTACTGTAGTACTGTACTATAGTACTACAGTACTACTGTACTATAGTACTGTAGTACTGTACTACTGTAGTACAGTAGTGTAGTATATATATATATATATATATATATATATATATATATATATATATATAGTAGTAGTAGTAGTAGTAGTAGTAGTAGTAGTAGTAGCAGTAGTAGTAGTAGTAGTAGTAGTAGTAGTAGTAGTAGTAGTAGTAGTAGTAGTAGTAGTAGTAGTAGTAGTAGTAGTAGTAGTAGTAGTAGTAGTAGTAGTAGTAGTAGTAGTAGTAGTAGTAGTAGTAGTAGTGGTACTGCAGTACTGTAGTACCTCAGGCCTGTGAGTCTCTGGTATTTACGGGACAAACTGGTTTGACAGAAACTGGCCCCAGGGGATTGTGGGAAATGCAGTTTTCTTTGGTCTCAGTTTAAACAAAACAATGAGACCAGCGCCCTCTGCTGTGCGCACACGGAACTTTACAACATTATTATTATTATTATTATTATTTAGTTTGAGTGAAATAAACATTTTAACAAAATTAAATAAATAAAAATATATAAGTGAAATAAAGACGAGGCTCGGACATTCGGACTAAACTCCAAATGCTTCTCCGTCTTACTGATTTAACTTTTTATAATAAGTTAAAGCTTCACTGTGTAACTTGGGCTGATGGCTCATTTTTCAGTTAGGTTGTTTTTTTGGGGGTTATTTTCACAGAGTTGGCTCAGTTTTGGGGGATTATTTTAACCAAACTCTGGTCATTTCAAATTGAACATAATGATCGTCGTTTTGCCCAGCAGCATTCTGGGTCAAATCCTCTCAAATAACCCAGAGAATCGGGTCAAACTCTTCATCTGTCGCCAGTCTGTGCCTCCTCTTCCTCCTCTGCTCTAGAGAAACTACGGCAAAAGGTTTTTAAACATGTTTATGTCTTAAAATTTTGGATTTTATCTGAAACTTTACACGGTTTAATCATTCTGTGTCAGTTTATGTTTCTAAATAAATGTTTGACTTCTGCTGCTGAGCCGGACTAATCCAGGACTAATCCAAGTCTAAACCAGGACTAATCCAGGACTAATCCAAGTCTAAACCAGGACTAATCCAGGACTAATCCAGGACTAAACCAGGACTAATCCAGGACTAATCCAGGACTAAACCAAGAGTAAACCAGGACTAAACCAGAACTAATCCAGGACTAATCCAACTAAACCAGGACTAAACCAGGACTAAACCAGGACTAAACCAGAACTAAACCAGGACTAATCCAGGACTAAACCAGGATTAAAGGATTAACATGTCTTTGATTTTCTCCTTAATCCGGTTTTTGATCTTGTTCCGTTGCAGTGGAGACGCTCCCATGTCCCGACTCTCCCAGTGCTTTTATTTTATTTATTTATTTATTTATTTTTTATTAATAAGAAACTTTGAATAAACAATAAAACACACGTCCACGGACAAGGGGAAGTAAAGAATAATACACCATTATTATTATTATTATTATTATTATTATTTATTTATTTATTTTGCACATATATAACGTATAACAATTTAAAAAAAAAAACACACACACACACACAAGATAAATGTGCATTACACAAAAAAAAATTACATTTACATTTACTCACCTTAGATGAAAAATATTTGATTCAAACATGGATTAAAACACAATGAAAGTGATTATCAAACATTATTACGAAATATCAAACATTTCCTCAAACTCTTCATCGTCGTCACTAACGACGTGAAAACTGAGCTCCAGATGAACACGTTTTAGAACATGAAAATGACGATTTTGATTTCTGTTCAAAGATCAGGACAGAAAATTAGACCGACCGTCCAGACGGATTAGAATTTGGACGTGACTGAATAAAATGGAATGATCAGTCCAGTCAGAAAAGAAGTTCTGTAGTTTCAGACTTTTCCTCGATGCTTCAGCAGAAGGATTTATGTTGTACAAGTTATAAAAATATCAACTACAAAATGGACAATTTAAATGAACATTTTCTTGCTGAATTCATAATGTGCTGCTGTTAATGCTGTGACATGTTTTGAATGATTTTTTTTAATAAATAAATAAATGTTTAATTGATTGATTGATTGCATTTACACAGCGCCTTTCAAGATCCCAAAGCTCTTTACACTTCATTATTTATTCACTCCACACTCAGTGGTGTAAACTGCTACTGTAGCCACAGCTGCCCTGGGGCAGACTGACGGAAGCGAGGCTGCCAATCTGCGCCATCGGCCCCTCCGACCACCATCGACACTCACACACACACCACTTTCATACGAGGCAATGTGGGTGAAGTGTCTTGCCTAAGGACACAACAACAGTTTTTTGCCACTGGCGCATCTCCGTCCAATCTCCAATTCATTGAATGAATAAATGTTTCTTAAATATCACCGTGGCCGCCATGATAAACTTTGAACTCGTGTTTTGGTAGAAATGGGATTTATGTTTTTCTCAGATTTGGACTTCCGGTGCTCTTATTGTGAAGGAGACGCGCTCTTGACACGCGGAAGTCTGAATCAGCGTAAAGAGCGGACGTAAACAGAGAGAGTGCGCATGCGCAGACAGAGCGGTCGATAGCGCAGCAGAAGTTTGTCCGCGCGCCTCAAAGTCCAGAAAAAGACGCGGAACAAAAACAGGAAATACTGCGGAAAACTGCAAAAAAAACTGCGGAATAAAGCTTTAGACAAGTGACCTGCGGGG